CACACACACACACACACACACACACACACACACAAATATCCAATAGTTTACCGTCAAAGCTCCTTCCGACTCGGAAAACCCCTTCCGCATCGTTGACCGGACTCAGCAACTTGGCGGAGGCCGTCGGCGCTAAGTCAGCTGATGGGCCGTTCACATAGAGACTAACGATCATGTCTTGTACCTGAAGATAATTATTATGGTGCATTATATTATATAATTATAGAATAAGTATAAAGCAATGCATTAAATGGTCGCTTTAAGGACAAGCAGGCTAACCCAGATTTCGGGGGTTTCCAGAAATCTTGACCTAGAACAAAAGTGGGCATTGCCTTACCTATAGAGAAGTTTGGTTTTATTGGTGTGTATATTTGTTTGGTTATAGATGAAACTTTCCCTGTCTTTTAAAGAAACTGAACAGTGGTCCAAAAACTTTACCTTCAATTTTCTCATAACAGCAGTTTTCGGAATAGCCTCCTTGTGCTTTAAAGCAACCCAATAAAGATTAAAATAATGATTTAACAAGGAACTACAAGGACAATTATTTGGATGTGAGACATGGAAAACATATCCAACTTTTATAAAGAGCATCCATGCTTTATCTGAAAAAGTTTTTCAAGATCAGATGGATAGACAGGGTCATCAACGAGGAAGTCGGATATATAATTTTTACTTGAGAAGACGGCGATAGCCATGGATTGGACATACTTCAGGATGCTAGGAAGCTGCATAACAAAGAAAGCTTTGAATTGGATTCCACAGAGTAGGAGATCAAGGGGTAAGCCATATGGAATCTGGAGAAGAGTCAAAAAGAGTGATCAAAAGAAAAATGGGAAGAAATGAAGTAATATAAAGAGGCTAGCGGAAGACGAGGAAAGGTGAAAAGTGTCTGTGGCTTATGGCCTGATGCAGGGTCAAGAAAGACATTGAGCTTGACATTGATCATTCGTGAATGGATAGAACAAATATTAAAAGGTGAAGAGAAAAATATGTAGCAAAATGGGAATAAGCAGTTTTATCAAGAACCAAGAAATACGTGCTGAGAACGAATTTTTTTTAAAATCTGGTACTATTCAAGACATACCGTGAAACAAATAAAGGAAAACAGTGAGAAATTGTGCGGAACTAAAAATGTCACTAATTTTGCTGTGAAATAAAGGCTGGTAAGCTCAAGTTCTTGCTTCACAACAAAAAGACAATGAGAAAAAGGAGTTTTGAAAAGAAAATGGTGGCGCTCGATACATGTTCGAAGAGGAGTGGGGTGGGGATGGGAAAGGGG